GCCTCAGGCCGGGAAGTGACACTTCAATGTGTCGGTGTGCCTTGTTGCTACATAAATGACACACCGTTAAGGGTGCACTGAACGCAGGTGTGGAAGTGGTGGACTTGCCACGGCTGGGCCAGTGGGTTCAGTGCTTCGAAGACATCCTAGCCCAGAGCTACGACAACCGAGAGGCGGTGATCTTGAAGCTTTACGATGCGGGCAAGGATGGCGGAGACAGCACTTACGAATTGGCGGCCAAGGGTTTCTCGAGAGCGTCCGTGCTGATGTACATTTGTACAGCAGGCAACAAGATCATCGAGGACTATGCTGGTGAAGAAGACGAGAAGTACAAGGAGGATGTGGACCTCTTCAAGAAGCCACTTGGCTTCAATTTCTGGTGTGCACGAGAGATTTCAGTTGCGACTGCACAGGACGTATACACCTTTGCATGACATGTCGCTGCCTGTCCTCATGTCTGTGTCCTGAGAAGTTCACGGGAATTTGCCAACGTTGATGTGTAAGTTTTTCGCAGATGTGTTTGCCGATCAAACTAAGACCGTCAACAAGAGCAACAAATTCTCAGCCTCATTAAGTCCATGGAACAATTTGCAAACATCAGCATCCATTTCACGAAAGAACAGGGACAGCATCATTGGCCGATCATCAGCCCCAGAGTCTCTGGTGAGCTTCGACCCAAACCTTTTCTCACCAGAAATCGGCAGCCGAGTTGGGGTTCCAGGACCTGGCGATGCCACGGTGGCATCGCCAGATCGCCAATTGAGTTTGTATAACACACCAAAACTTGTCAGCTTCCCAACCAGGAGACATGAGCAAATCAGGATTTGGGCTGTTAGATAATGTCAATCAAGGATCTGGCGATGCCACCGTGGCATCGCCAGGTCCTGGAACCCAAACTCGGCTGCCCATTTCTGGTGAGAAAAGCTCTCTGTCAATTTCACCAGAGACATTTCTCAGGGCTGAAGCAGATAGTCTAGCTCGCCGCAACAGCCCGTGTGAGATTGGTGAAGGGATGGCAAAGTCGCAACTGCTTCCTTGTTCAGCTGTTGACTCTTGCATGATGCACGATTACTTTCACTTCTGGGTTGACAGTGATATTTGAGGTTTGCCGCGAGTGCCAGATCCATGCT